TTGAGCCAGCTGCCAATCATTGATATGTGGAACGCGAAAATTTTCTATATATAAAAATTTGGTCACTCCCCCAAATCCTAGTTTGATTGCTTCCACAATATTCCACATCCCGCGGTAAAATAACCTTAAAACTTTAAAAGCCTCTTAGCTCATCTAAACCACTTTCTATAAATTTCTTTTGCAACAGAACGACATGGCACTGAAAAGAATCAACAAAGTAAGTTATAAAGTTTTTCCTAAAGGATATAAAATAGCTTTTCTACTTAGTATTGGCTTGTCGGACTTTAGTGGCTTTTTGCCGTTGTCTTTTAGTCTCTCAATCCTAAAGAAGGCGAACTCTTTTATTTCTGTTCTATGAAAAAAAAAGTGAAATTTAACTAGATCAAAGATTAGTTATCATAATAGAACTTTGTTTTCAAGTCATTTCCAGGGGTAAAACATACGTTGGGTAACAAATAGTTTTTAGATGTTCAAGGAAACGCAGTGTCCCTCGAGTGCTTTTTTTCTAGTTTTAAAAGTCCTAAAGTTAGACGTTTTATTAACTTCGTTAACTTTCACTAATGACTTGGTTATTAGGAATTGCACGATTTAGGACGTGACCCACCATCTTCTTGCAGCGCAGGTCCCATTGGAGATGATCTCTTTCACTGGCAAGCTACAATTATGGGACCAGTAAGTTTTTGTTTTGTTCTTGCAAATAGTGAAATTTGTATGTTCTCTTCAACTTTCGTTGTTCCTTATACCTTTTTAGTCCGATTCCCCATACTCTGGTGGTGTGTTTTTCTTAGCCATCCATTTCCCTACAGACTATCCGTTCAAACCACCAAAGGTAAAAATAACCTTAATCCTTGTTGATTGACCTCTATTCATTTTAATTTATAATCAACGCTTACTTTTGTAGGTCAACTTTACAACAAGGATTTACCATCCGAATATTAACAGTAATGGAAGCATATGCCTGGATATTCTAAGGGACCAATGGTCACCAGCTCTTACTATTTCGAAGGGTAATTGAAATTGTTCTGAATCAACTGTGCATATTGCAAATAACGCTTATAACCTCTGTTTTTCGTTTATACAGTCCTCTTGTCTATTTGCTCGATGTTGACTGACCCTAACCCAGGTTTGTTTTATTTACATATTGAATAATTCCACCTCCACATACCGGCCATCACACAGGATTTATGCGATATCATGCGTAGCATTAAAACTATCATGAATGTCAGCATTTTATTGCGACGCAAAAAACGATAATCCACATACTGATTGTTTAATTTTGATTGTTTAAAACTTAGACGACCCACTCGTACCCGAAATTGCTCATGTATATAAGACTGACCGTGCTCGTTACGAGTCGACAGCTCGAGAGTGGACGCGCAAATATGCTAGTAAGTAGTAACCCTTAAATGTTCTTATTTCTTTTCGATTCTTAATTCATTCTTCTTGGTTTCTATAATTAAATAAATATAACCAACAGTGTAAGGTTGCCATAGATGGACCAAAGGATGATAATACAATCTATAATAGAACTCTATGCTATAAACGAGTTTGAATTTTCGTTTTTTACTTTTTACATTTCTCATATCATATAAAGTGTTTTATCAACCTTTTCGTTCCTCTATTGTTGAACGGTCTGTATTATGTGCGTTGGATTGTGCAATATTTGGTATTTGACAGGCGGTGTACCTCTCTTTATTGTTTATTGTTTTCTTTTTTTGTTTTATGGACTCGATTCCTCTCTCTATATCCTCCACATACACTTTTACAATAAACTTCGATTTATATAAAATATTAGATCTTTAAGGAATTGAG